GGGGCGTTTTAAAAAAAAAAAAAAAAAAAAAAGGTAAAAAAAAAAAAAAAAGGTAAATAAAAACTATTTCATAGGTGGGAACAACAAGATACTCTATTCAATATGTACAAAAGAGGTCTGTATATAATGTACTCAAGCCCAGCACAGTGATTTATTGCTTGGAAAGCCTCACTCTAAGCACTTCTTTTTTTCCTGATCCTCTCCGGGATCATTTCACTACAACGAATAAGGAAAGTTTCTCAAATGCCCTGGACTGGAAGGGCTGTCCAGAAGCTCGAGTGTTCAGGATGCCATTCCAAACATTACCAGTTACACTCCAAATCTACCGGCAAGCATGCAAACGATATGGAACATAAATACAGAAATAACTGCTAAACTAATTCTTAAGTGTTCTATATGATCCTTCTTTACATTTATAATTCCCACCATCTTTTCCACACTTCAAAGACTCAAATTCTAAATTCAATACTGACAGTGAGGAAAAAAACTGCAAATGTTTCTGATTTGAGATAAAAGAGGCAGGCATCATGCATTCACATTTTCTATCCTAATCAAACAATATGCATGTGGATGAGGCAGCAAAGTGAAGGACACCAAATTGTCTTAAACTAGTATAGTATGTTTTTGAAGGGCCTAAGCTATACTAACTGACATTTGCTTCTGAAAATGCTATTTTCTTGACTGAAGCGGACAATACCCACTAAGCCAGCAGTTGCCAACCGTTCGGACCTCATGGACCACTAAATTCATAATTTTAAATCTCTCGGACCACTAATATGATTTTTTTTAAATATATATATTCTCATATTTTTTGTTTCCTCATGAATAAATATATTCTCATATGTGTGTGTGTGTGTGTGTGTGTATATATATATACACATATATACATCGGTGCGGGTGGCCTGCAGGAGTGGCAGTGCTGGTGGAGGGAGGGAGGGAGCGGTGCCGCCCCGGCCCAGTAATAATATTAATTGTCCCACCCCCCTATCGAATCTGCCACTGGCCATGCCGACGGCGCCCGGGGCAATGCCCCGCCTAGCTTCAGCACTGCCCCCAACCACCCTCGTACCTTCCCTTCCCCCACACTGAGCCACTATTACCTGGCTTCGCCCCACTTTTTCTATGTCCCGCAGCCTGCTCACTCCAGGTACTGACGAGATGCAAAATTCAAGAATTTCACAAAAGTACAGCGATTCATTCAGAACAGCCAAGCACTCTATGTGAGCAACACAGTGCTATTATGTGAACATGGTGCTAATTTCAAATATTATAAGCTCTAACTAGGACTATCGTTATGAACCACTTGTTTTAATGGAGCTGAAAGTTAGCCATAATGAAGAAACACACACACGTCTTGCACAAGGTGAAGACATCAGTAGTAGAAATTCATGCAAAGCATTTAATTATCTAGAAGAGGTTTTCACTTGGGCATACCTCACCATCTTTTCGACTCAGCTTTCCTCAAGGTAAAATCATGTTTAAGATAAAAAGGAGTTGTCTTATGCCCCAAAAGGTCTGAAATTGGACCCCAATTAATGAAATTGGACACCCCCACCTCACCACAAGCATTAGAGACTTTAACTTTGACAAAAAAGATGCATGATAATAATGGAAGCCTGCACTTTTACATCACTGTATTTCTGTTATTTGATCACCTACAGTAGATCATTTGTCCATTAAAGAGAAAATGTGACCTTGCCTATGCAGGACAGAATAACAGCAAAGGACCCCCAACCTTTCCACATACTCATCTTGCTGCTCATTTCTCAGTTGCAGCTGAACCTAAAATCATTGGTGTCATCAGCCAGGGAGAATGCGGATGTTACTCCCTCCCAAGCAATTGGCTCTTAGGCTGAAGCACCGTCACAGAAGAGATGGCCACCTGCAGTATAAGTCCAGTATAAGCTAGTTGGGGAGGGGGATCTTCCTAAGACCTTGTCAGTTTGTCCTGCATGGTCTCTTTAAATATATTGAAGTATAGGTAAATATATTATAGTAGATCAAGTGGGGAAGACTTAGAACCCCTTTCTGGTTTTTACTGTGGTTCTGGGCTCCATTAGAGTGATTTATTTCACAGTAGGGGAAGACTAGAACCCTTTGTTAGATTTGTATAGCTGTCTGTGTCCTTGCTGCATATTTTCTCTCACTTCCTGTAAGGTGACACCATTTCAGCGAGACAGAAAGCGAGGGTTATAAACGTTCCTCAATCTAATAAAAGGGTACAGCACACTGGCTTAGTGGTTAGCACTTATGCCTTGCAGCACTGGGGTCCCCAGTTCGATAAGGAGTAAACACTATCTGCAAGGAGTTTGCATTTTCTACCTGTGCTTGCGTGGGTTTCCTCCGGGTACTCCGGTTTCCTACCACACTACAAAAACATGCTGACGGGTTAATTAGCTCCTGTCTAAGTTGGCCCTCGTATTTATGCATGTGAGATAGGGACCTTAGATTGTAAGCTCCTTGAGGGCAGGGACTGAATTGAATGTGATGTGCTGTGTAAATTGTCACCGATATATAAATACCTGTAATAATAATATATTGGAATTCACCATTTGATGCTGTTGACTGCTTGGAAAATAAATCATGTAACCCATAAACTAAATCTCTAAAGTTGTCCACACACTGATTTTTTTTTACATGGATCCCTCCATTTACACTTAGCAGTTGTATTGTATTCTGAAAGCAGTGGGTGTGCCACTGTCAGAATACCCAAACAGTGACTTCAGCTGCTTGGTTGCAGTCACTGCTCCACCAATAATTTTCCGTCGTATTCCTTCGATTTCCTGATTGAAGGATGTTGGGCAGAAAGTTGCCGACAGGGCCACCCACTGAGCGAATTTTGCCTGGTTCATTAAGAACCAGATGAAATTCGTTCAGTAAATGAAATTCGCTCAGTAAATGGCTAGCTTAAGTAGCAGAAAAATTAATGGTTATTTGAAGTAGAGTCGATTTTTCTCTGAATAGCTCCTTGTTCTAGTCTATTAAGATCAAAATGACCGTGAAGCAAAGCAGCCATTGACTAACGAAGCCCTAATGTGTTTTTGTAAAGGCAAGTCAGGCACTGTGCCATGTTCCAATCAAAGTTCCAAATACATGCAATCCTCATCCAGTATGGACACAAATCTAAAATAACAAGGCTCTACTGGATGTTATCCAGACAAAAAGGCATGATTAGGGCATTATTATGTTCTTTCATTAGAAGTTAATGTGAACAAGTAAAAAATCTTTTTAGGATGTACTGTGTGCTATGTATTCAAAGGATCAAAAATCACCTAGTCATTTTTTATGTTTTTAAAGGCTATTGTAATTTTATTCACCAATGGGATGTTAAACTGATCAAAACTTTCTTAGAGATTCTTAGAACCATGTTCTGGATCAGTGTTAGGGAGGCACTACAGCATTTCTCCATCTTGTCCCAGAGACACTTCAGGATGTTAAACTAGATGGGTTTTTGCTTGTATTCTTGTTCTGTTGGTGTTTAAGTGCACCAGTCTGAGATTGCAGTATACCTTCATCTATGCCTTCTCTTGTAGTGCCATCTCTTGCGTACCCTACCCCTTTTCTTTGGTCAGGTTGACTTCAAAGTTGGTACCCTTGGGTTTTTCACCAGTCCCAGGTGTAATTTATTTATCCTTATAGGATATTACACTGCGGGAATTCCCATATAAACCTGTTTATTAATGATATTGGGGAAGGTGTTCAATAGGCATATTTCTGTGTTTGGAGATGATACTAAAATTGGGAGGGTAACAGACACGGACATAACATCACAGGAGGACCTGGATAAAATAGGGGAGTGGGCAACTACATGGCAGATGAGATTTAATGTTGAAAAATGTAAAGTAATGCATCTT